TCCCTCCGCCCCTACGCCAACGTCTCCACCGTCCGCAAGGCCACCGTCACAGCTCGTATTCTCCAGCTGATCCACCAGCTCTGCCTCAAGAACATCCACGTCACTAAGCGTGACCTGTTCTACACCGACGTCAAGCTCTTCCAGGACCAGACGCAGTCCGATTCGGTCCTCGACGACGTGTCGTGTATGCTCGGCTGCACGCGCTCGAGCCTCAATGTCATCGCCTCTGAGAAGGGTGTGGTTGTGGGTCGCCTGATTTTCAGCGACAATGGAGATATGATCGACTGCACGAAATGGGAATGGGCGGGAAAGCCATCCCGCCCAATATTGACAGAGTTGGTGATATGCAGAGTGATGCTCTGTTTATATTGCTGGTTGAGAAGGATGCTGCTTATATTAGACTGGCTGAGGATCGGTTTTGCAATCGATTTCCGTGCATTATCATCACCGCCAAGGGACAGCCGGATGTTGCAACCAGGCTGTTTCTGAGGAAGATGAAGCTGGAATTGAAACTGCCGGTGTTGGCCCTTGTGGACAGTGATCCATACGGGCTGAAAATTTTATCTGTTTATGGTTGCGGGTTGAAGAACATGTCGTATGACAGTGCCAATTTGACGACGCCGGATATAAAATGGTTGGGGATACGGCCCAGTGATTTGGACAAGTAGAAGATACCCGAGCAGTGTTGGTTGACAATGACTGATCAGGATATTAAGACAGGGAAAGAAATGTTGGAGTAAGATTTTGTGAAAAAAAAACCCGAAATGGGTTGAGGAGCTGACTCTTATGGTGAAAACCAAGCAAAAGGCGGAAATTCAAGCTCAGAGCACATTCGGCTTTCAATATCTGTCCGAGACTTATTTGCCGCTAAAACTGCAGGAGCAGGATTGGATATGAGCCATGGCTTGAGTTTGGTGGAAGTTTTATGATGGTAAGTAAGTCATGGATTTACTCACATTTTGGCTATGAAGTGCTGTAATATCTCTTGAATTGTTCAATTGTAAGGAAAAGGAATGAAATGAATGAACAAAGATTTCGCGACTTCGTTTCGGCTTGGATGATAAATTTGTGTTTCTTAGGGGATTGCAAGTTTGGAAATTAGTTGTACTTTGTTTAGGCATTTCAATTCAGATTATGGAAACGCTAAAACCTATTTCAGTTGTGAACATAAGAGTATAATAGTATCAGGAAAATTGCTTTATTTTCATTGCTTCTGCAAATTACATTTGCCTCTGTATATAATTTACATGTAACGATACAGGCTTATTCCATGTTAAAGGATACACGAGGAAAAATAATTATCGATTATTTAGTAGCATGTACAAATTACGGATGAAGCAGTCACCTTCTAGGAGCACTTCTTCTCCGCAGCCAATGTTGCAGTGATCCCCTGGTTAGCCTTTCTAAAGCCCCGGGTCTTCGTGTGGAATAGATTAACTCTGCGGGTAGTTCATCCCTCCCTGACATATCTTCTAAATCTTGATCTAAATCAGTAGTGTTCCCTGGTTCTATTGTAGTATCAAGTCCAACTTTAGGTCCTGTTGCAAGAACCTTGAGCCCCAATTCATCCTGCAGAAGTTTGGTTATTGCATCTTTCACCTCTAAATTTTGTGTGGTTGAGCCTCCATCAACCTCATGGACTTCTACGACGATCAGCATGTCATCTTTTACGGAATGTCCTGTAACCATCAGTAAGTCTTAACATCAGCATGAAAGTTAGAAACTCTGGATCCTAAGCTTCTTCTTCCTTTTCTCATTTGCTTATGTATTTTAAATCTGATTTTACCCTATCTTAAATATGTTTGAATAAATGGCTTCTCAAATAAGATAAAGGCATCTAAAACAATATGTTCATACCTAAGGCATAGTTCTCTTTGATCGTTCGTAGAACTGCGAGAACAACGATCGGAGCTTCAACCTGTTAAAAAGAGGATATTTGCATGGGGAAAAAATAGATAAGAGATGGCATGGAGGCTCTTCCAGAGTGGTTGACGGAATGGAGGCTCCCTGACAAGTTCAACACTTCACTTAATTGAAACTCGAGGTAATCTAGTAAAATTGGTATAAGAATATAATTGCGTGAATGAATTTCTCATTAACCAAGCAAATGGATTTATACATAAGTCGTCCTACAATTAAGCAGTCTAATTGTACAACTTATGTAAGTAAAATTAAATATGTTTGATAAAGGCATCTAAAGCAATTGTTCATCCAACGATCGGAGCTTCAACCTGTTAAAAAGAGGATATTACCGTTGTCCTCTTCTAAAAGAACGATGCAACGAAGACAGCGGCCCAGGATGGCCCGCGATTTCGCATATTCCAAACATCGAATGTAAGTTTTTCTATTTTCTTATTTGTTTTCTTTGGTTCCGAAATCAATTATTTTCTTCTCTTTACTTTTTTTTATCTTCTTTTGGTGAACTGGGGATGATTTATAAAAATAAAAAATAAAAAAATAATAATAATCTTGTTTTATAACTCCACATATAAATTCAAGGTCCCAGGGTACCAAATTATGTGTGTAAGTTTGTAACATATTCATGTTTAAATCTCTGCAGTTAGACGATGAGATATGGTCTTAACATATTGGAGATTTGTGAACCTGGATGAAACCAAAACTCAAATTCATTGGTCCTCGCAAGTCTTATTTGCATGATTACATCATCGATTAAGAAAACCGTGGTAGCAAAGAATATACATTTTAACTAAGTGCAATTTCGTGAATGTTTGATCAATCAACCATCATCAGCATCGCTTCCTCAAATATGAGCTTCCATAGCTATGGTTGCTTCAATGAGGACCAAGAATCTGGGATATATATTTATTTGGGCAAATGCTAGGGAAACCAACTTGGGATACCAACTTGTATACCAACTCTCTAATAGAGCGTGGGACTAGGGATGGCAACGGGTCGGGTAGGGGCCGGGTATGACAATACCATCCCCGTCCCCGTTCTCCATCCCCGCCCCCGTCCCCGAACCCATCCCCGTTTAATAGGTTTCGGAGATTCCCCATCCCTGTCCCCGTCGGGGGACTATCCC